GAAGGAAGGAAGGAAGGAAGGAAGGAAGGAAGGAAGGAAGGAAGGAAGGAAGGAAGGAAGGAAGGAAGGAAGGAAGGGAGGGAGGGAGGGAGGGAGGAAGAGAGAGAGGGAAAAGCAGCAGCGGCCTTGGTCAAGTTCAGCTCGGTTCAATTCCCACACGGTGCACCTCTTTACCCAGGTGGACAGCTCCCACCACCGGACCCTTACTTTCTATGTCCCTAATCTATTTTGTTCCATCCTCAGGAGAAACTTGTGAGGACGGAGGCTTGTCCAGGGCTTGCAGGAAGAGTCAGAGCTGCGGGGGGCCAACTCTGCCACATTTCAGTTCTCAGCCACTTTGTTCCAGGGCTCAGCTCCCGCCTCCTGGGGCCCATCCAGACTAGCCCTTCCATGGGTGTCCGTTGTGTGGTCCACACGCCCACAGTCCCGTTGTTCGACTCACCAGGCCTGGGCCTCCACCCTGCGCCTGTTCCCAGCTTAGAAAGGACCTGGAACTTCACTCCGGCTAAGGTGCTGAGAGCTGGCAGGCAGCAGGCTCCTTCTCCAGGAGGCCTTTGCCTTCAACACAGGGGGCTCCTTCATTTGCCAAAAGAAAGCCTCTACGGGTCCCACGTCAGGCCCCCTCACTAGGCTGCTGGGATCCCAGGTGCACAGGTCCCTCCTGCCCACGTCACCTGGGGAGTGGTCTGCAACCTGAAGATGGGAAACTCCTGCGTTAACTCAGTCCACTCAGCCTCGGGGACATTTGCAGTGACAGACAGCACATTCTCAGAACTCCGTGCGGTTACATGGGACTAGGAAAACCCACCGTCTAACTAGCTGTGCCTCGTGTGTGTAGGTGGCCCGTGGAGCCATCTAGACGGGGGTGTGTCCCTCTCAGCTTCCTCTCCAGAGCCAGGGGACTGACAGGGCTTAAGAGGCGCCAGAGCTGTCATGGTCGCCTTCCAGGGCCTCCCAGCTTAGTGAAGTCCTTCTGCTCCGTTTAGAGGACGGGCCTGCTTCAAAAAAAAAAAAAAAAATTAAAGTGTGGTTTCGGGTTCCACTTCCTATCAGCCGGCTTCAGTTAGAGGAAACAGGAACCACTCAACCATTGCGAGCAAAACGGGGTTCAGACAGGAAATGAGGGGCTTATGGTTTTATTGAGAGGCTGGAGGAGCCGGCAGGGGAGGGCCTGTGGGAGGATGCTCCAGCGGCTTGGGGACCGGCCGGCCAGGCGCAGCCACCTTGGCCCCGTCAGCCAGCAGGGCGGCCTCCCAGCTGCCTCCTCGCCCCTCGGACGCCCTGCATGGCCAGTGGAACCCTGCCACAGGAAAAACAGACTCACGGCTTTGCTCGCCAGGAGAAACGGCCAAACGCAGCAGGAGGAGTCTTGGCCCCAAATCCTAGCAGCGTGCGATGCATTGGCAGAAGCTGGGATGCTCCAGAGCCGGCTCTCCCCAGCCAGAGCCAAGCATGCACAGCAACTCCAGCCCTGCGTCCAGAGACACCACGTGACCAGCATGATTGAAATGGACCACAGCAGGGGTATCCTCACTGCAGGAGTCGACTGCAAGCACTCCATGCCAGGGAGGGTTCCTTTTTACTTTTTTTTTTTTGGGGGGGGGGGAGCTGGTTGTTAAGCATTTGCCAGCACACCACTGGGCAGAACCCAGTTCCCATCTGGGATTCTAGCAGCAAGGGAAGCAGGAAACCCAGTTGTTCACCTTTCTAGACTTTGAAGCCACACAAAAGAAGGACAGAAGGATGCTGCCTGCCAAGCCATCCTCATGACACACACTTCTAGGAATGCACATGTGTGGATGATGGACGGCCAAGGATGTGCAGGGTTGTGAGCAATTGTGTGGAAGCAACATCTCTTAACAGGAATTGCTCTTCAGCACACGTCAAAGTTGATTAGCCCTCCAGCCAGGGAACTGCCAAGGAGGCCAAATAGTGGTTTGGTTCCAAGAGGTTTGGGAAATCATGGATTTGTATCTGCAGAGGGGAATGACGCCTGCAGAAGCGACTAATTCAGAAAAGGGGCAGCTCCTAAGGTCAAGGTCAAGGTCACGTCGCATTTAACCCGACCATGAAAGCGTCCTTTCCCTATCCACTAGAACGAGTGGGATTTCAGACACAGCAGTCTTGGAGACAGTTTCTGGAGAGGCTAACCGTTTATCAAAAATAATAAGCAGCACATCCAAGACTTGCTGCATTTGTGACTGCTAATTAGGAAGACAAACTAGACGATTTCATGCCCCAACAGAGCTGGGCAAGAGCCTGGCAGCTCTGAGGCAGCCAGAATGTCAAGCAGAGGTCACGGCAAAGCATCATGAAACCAGGACCTGCCCAGCTTCTCACATGCCCAGGCTTTTGGGAAAGGTGCTGAGTCTATAGGTCACGGATCCTTAGGTTTTGTTGCACTTGACAATATCCAGATATGGAAATAATTTGCTGGGATGAAATCCTAACTCTCCACCCCACCCCTGCCATACGACTATTTGGAGATAGTCTTTAGAAGGTAAGTTAAGGTTAGATGAGGTTATAAAGATGAGGTCCTGGTCCAGTGGGACTGGCATCAAAGAGAAAATTGTATACAACAGCATTGTTCACAGTAACAAAAGCATAGAAGCAACCAAACACCTATCAACATATACATTGTATGCCGTATACATATAATGAAATATTACTCAAACTTGAAAAAGGAAGAAAATTCTGGCACACGCTGTGACATACAGGGACTGTAAGGACATTATGCTAAGTAAAAGATGCCAGTCACAAAAGGACAGATCCTATGTGATTCCACTCAGAAAAGGTACCTAGAGGAGTCAAAATCATAGGGATAGAAGGAATGGAAAGTTCATTTTTAATGGGTACAAAGTTTCCACTTTACAGCATGAAAAGGGTTGTGGGGATGTATGATGGTGATGGGGACACAACAATGTGAATATACTCAACTCCACAGAAGTCCACACTTAAAAATTACTGAAGTGGTAAATTTTGTTATGTGCATTTTATCCCAATTTTTTTTATTTTAAAAATAGAGGGCTAGTTAAGTAAATGCTAGTGTATCTACCCAAGGCCTCGTGGAACCTCATGTAAAGATGCTCCTCAAGTTCTGCAAACAGCAACAGGTACTGTGGCGAAATACCATCCACCATTCAAATGAAAGAGGCTGCTCTTCGTGAAGAATGAACCCGTCATGCACTGAATCAAAAAGAAAAAAGAAAGAAAGAAAGAAAGAAAACAAGATGTGTGGATGTTAATTCACAATAAGAGGGCAGAGGCTAGGGAAGAATATAGGTACTGTGGATTAGACAGAGAGGCACAGAATGATAGTAGAATGAGGACATTATTACCCTGTGTGCATATGTGACTGGTGTGATTCTACATCATGTACAACCGTAAGAATGAGAAATTATATTCCATTTATGTATGAGTTGTCAAAGTGTGTTCTACCCAATAACACTACACTGGCCATGTATAACCAATTAGAACAAATTAAAAAAAAAAAAAAAAGTCTGTCAGGCCCAGTGGCACCCTCCTGTAATCCCAGCAGCTTGGGAGGCTGAGGCAGGAGTATTGCAGGTTCAAAGCCAGACTCAGCAACTTAGCAAGGCCCTAAGCAATTTAGTGAGGTCCTGTCTCTAAATATAAAAGGAATGGGGATGTGGCTCAGTGGTTAAGAGCCCCTGGTTTCAATCCCCAGTATGAGAGAGAGAGAGAGAGAGAGACAGAGAGAGAGACAGACAGACAGACAAAGAGGAAGGAGAAAGTAAAGAAGGAAGGAAGAGAAATTGCTACAGTAGGCTGTCCCTTGGGTTGAAAGTGATTAAAGGAAACTAATTGATCTGCATGACTAGATCAAAATACATCTAGAGAGATATCCAAGAAAATGACCCCCCTGCTGTCTCCAAGGAAAAGTAGCGGGAAGCAGAATGGGGAAGAAGATCTTTACCATATGCCTTTTGGATTTTGGACCAATGCGCAAGCATTGCCAACTCAAAAATATTTAGTTTTTCTAAAGTGGCTCGGGAATAACATTACACCGACCATTAAGCTGTGGTGTCTGGCCCTGGAAGAAGGCGGTTGGACTGGAGGTCTCAGTGTCTGCTTTGCTGAAGGGATAACACTGGACTGCAGGGCACACAGGCCTGGAGTCCTTGTGCTGACCGTGGAAGACTCACCCACCCCTCTGATCTCAGGGTCTTCACCCATGACCACCAGGGACAGACATAAGCTATGCACATCCATCCAAAACTGAGTGGGAGGTGGCCTCTCCTCCTAAGCAAGCTGGGTTCCTGTGCTCACCAAGGCATAGCGCACACTGTCCCCCAAACCCAAGAGTCCCCTCTCTGGGCATCCATATGCCCCACATGGAGAATAAAGGGGTTGGCCACATGATCCCTCACTGCCAGTGCCCAAGGGACACTGGTCCAAGGGACAAGCCTGGTTCACTCAGCGGGGCCATGAGGACCCACAGGGTTACCTGTGGAGTCAGTGACCCAGTGACACAAAGAGGCTTGCAATGCTGACCTCATGCTCCCCTCCAGTGGTGATAAAGGAGTTTCTCTCTTTCTTTCTGTGTTTCTTTGACTTTTCTTGTCTTATCACAATGGACATAGTAGTCTGTTCACTTGATATTTTATCCTCAATTACGAACGTGCTGTATCTTGATACTCCAGTTGCCCCAGAAGTCTCTGAGCACTTTCTCACCTCTAGCACAAGCTGCTCAGGACCACCTCGAACTGTCACTGCTCCAACCCAGGACCAGCCAGTCTCCCAAAACGCCCCGGATCACCAGGGTGGAGCTGGAACTTGGAACCGGGGATCTGGCCCTCAGTGCTCACTGCTGCTGGGGCCTGATGGAAGAAAGACCTGGCACCCTGAGAGGGGCTGGGGGTCCTTCCCCTCCCACTGGCAGCTCAGGCAGAGTGGGTTAACATCCAAGACTCCTGCTTCTCTGGGCTCTCTGGGGGGGGGGAGGGAGCAGGTTCTAGGTTGGCCCCTTCTAGTAATGGTGCTCCGTGGGAGGTCTCACCAGCGCTCTCTTCATGTGCTTGATCTGACCCTTGAAGTCGGGGCTTGAAACCCAGGGTATGAGTAATTTTGAGAGTCCTGGGCGAGGCACAGAAATAGGGCCGCCCACCCACCTACTGAGGCCTGGCCTTCCATCATTCACTCCTAAACATGAACATTTAGATCTCAATTTAATTACAACCTCCCAGAGGATCCCACTCCACTATGCAGTTGTTCCCAAGAACAGACACACTGATGTAATGCACAGGAGCCAGAGAGGCCCCTGGGCCTTGAGATTGGCAGGAGGGGCTGCCCTGATTGAGAAGAGCCTAGGCACCTGTGTGGGCTTTGGGGCTATCACAAGCATGTTTCACAACCCAGCAGCTCCAGCCCCTGCCCACCCACTGCTCTAGGAAAAACTGCATCACCCTCTGTAACCTCCAGACCCTTAGGGGGGTCCTGGAGTGGCTGCAGACCCCCTGCTTCTGCAGGGGCATGGAGGGCTTAATTTACGGCTGAAACACATTGAACTTTGTAATGGTCAAAGAGGAAACACGTGTGTTCCCTTTTCCCTTGTGGTCTCCAGGGCCTAACAAGGTACAAATGGAAATGTTTTTCTTTGACAGAGTAAAAAACATCAAATCGGCCCAAAGTGGTAGCAGACAGAATGTGTGTGTGCATGTGTGTACACACACGAGTGCGCATGCATGCAAGGAGTGTGTGTGTGAGTGTGTTGAAGGACCTGACTTGAGCTGGCATCTGTTTTGAGGGGTAGACCCCGAAAGACTTCAGAAGGGGCTTCAATCTTTCAGACCAGTTCACCCCCTCCCTCCACTCTGCTCCCCACCTGTCCCCACGGGATCCAAATACCTTTCAGGCCCAAAAAGCCTTCTGTCCATTAACAGAACACACCGTTTCAGAAATAAAGTCTCGTTGTCCACGCACAGGGAGCTATTTTTGTTTGTGGCAGGATAATACAGTCGTCCTCCCTTCTCCAAAGTTTCACTTTCTGAGTTTCAATTACCTGTGGTCAACCTCAAGTCTGAAAATAGAAAATAGAAAATTCCAAAAATAATCAATTCATAAGTTTTAAATTGCATGCCATCCCCAGCATGATGAAATTCCACTCTGCCCCACTCTGCCCTCCTGGGGCGTGAATCATCCCTTTGCCCAGAGAATCTGCACCGCGCACCCTTCCTGCCTGTCCATCTCTTAGCGGCTGTCTGTCTAGCTGTTAGACCAGCTGTCACAGGATCGCAGCACGTGTACTCAAATAACCCTTTTAACTTAATGATGGATCCAAAGCACAAGAGTGCTGGCAATTTTATTAACTGTATAGTTACAATTTTTCTATTTTATTAGTGCTTATTGTTTTCAATCTCTTCTCCTGATTTATCAATCAAGCTTTATCATATATATTAAATGTATATTCATACATATATATGAAAGAACATAATACACATATTGTATGTATAATATATATATATACACACACACACACACACAAGATCCAGTACTAGACATGGTCTCAGACATCCACAGGTCTCTTGGAACACATCCCTCGCAGATAAGCAAAGACTAGTATATTTTGACATATTAACAAAGTACTTTGTTTTCTGTTTGGAGGATATATATATATACATATATATATATATATATATATACATATATATATATATATTTGTACTTTATACCACCCCGTCATTTAGACCATCAAGGTAGGTGGTTATTTCAGACTCACTGTCCTCAGGGTGGGGGCAACGTAGCAGGGAACAGAGCAGGCTCTTATACATTTGGACTTTCACAAGAGGCTACCGAGACTCTGGGAAGAGACTCTCTATTAAGAGCTGGGGCTTAACTGCAAGAGCCCAGCTTTTCAGGAGATAAAAGTTCTTAGTTCTATGTTTGGGTTTTGGTTATGAGAGGCTCAGAGGACAAAGTGTAGACCATAGCAACAGAATAGGAAAGACGTGTGCAAAACCAATGTCCCACCCACACAGAGAACCTGGCCCTGGCCTCTCAGGCTTGGCCAAGAACATCAGGGACACAAGGAGCCAGGAGGTGACAGGAGAGGCGGGCCTGGGAAACCTCGCCCTGCTGGGGTTGCTCACCATGGAGGGTGAGCTAGTGCTACTAAAGGTGAGACTGAGGCTGCAGCCAGCTGACCCTCCACCTTCCCCCAGGCTGCCCCCTGGTCCTCACAGCTGGACGCACACTCTAGCCCCCGAGGGCTGTGCTCCAAGCTGCAGGATGTGGGGAAGCAGAGGAAGGGCAAAGAAGGATGGTCTTAGGGATGTTTCCCAATCACTGGCTCCCGGCACTTCCGCTTCCACCCTTTATATAGGAATGAAGTCACCTGGTCACAGCTTGAGGGAGGCTGGGACATGTGGTCTTTAATCCAGGAGGCCAGATGCCCAGCTAGAAGTCAGAAGTACTAGGACCCAGTGAAGCCATATGGGAAGGTGACCAGCAGTCTCTCCACAGTGTGTCCAGATGCGAGATGTTCTGAGCAAGGCTTCTGCTCCCGTGAGACAGTGTGGAGCACCTGGGACCCCATGTGGCTATGCCTGCCAACGTCACTGCGGTGGGTGCCCCTCCCCAGGTCTATCTTGGGTTCTCAGGCTTAGGAGTCAGGGGCCTCCTTATCCTGGGACCTCCCTTGGATGAAATTATTTTAGGAAGAAGAGCTAGCCCAGGCCACCAGAGTTGTGTTGCTCAGTATGACAGTCACTACTCATCTGGAGCTCTTGAAATACAATTTTAAAATAATTCAAATTTGAATTTAAAAGCTAGCTCCTCATAGTCACACTTCAAGTTTCTGACAGCCGCAGTAGGATCGTGGCTACCATATTGGACAGGACAGACACAGAACATTCCACCTTTGCAGAAAGCTCCTTTGGCTGCAGTTTCACGAAGGCAGGAGAAACCAGAGCCGAGGGCGGGGACCTAACGCAGCAGATCACCAGGCACCTCCGGCTTCTTGCCTCCCCACCACCACCAATGCTGCTGCCGGTTGCCAAGCACCACAGCCTGGTCCCACCTTTGCTGATGGATGGATGGACACTGTCTCTGATCCTGGGGACTCCACACCAGCCAAGTCTTGTGCTCCCATGTGGGAGGAGAGACCAGCATTGATTGTCAGGGTGAGGAGGAAGACAGGAAACTTAGGGTGAGAGGGACTGGGATGCTGTTGGACTCTAGGCTGACTGAGCAACTAGAGGCAAATTCACTCCCTGCCCTCCACTGTTTTCATTCATCACCCATCCTCCTATCCACCCATCTGTCCATGTACCCATGACTCATCCACCCACCCACCTACCCATCAACCCATCCATCTATCCATCCATTCACTCCTTACCTCTGCCTTTCTGCTTCTCAGGCATGATGGGTACAGAAATTAATGAGCCACATTCTCCCACCTCAATATAAAAATAATCCACTGACTGATAACAATAGCAACAACATTTACCCGTGTAGTGGTGTAATGAGTGTCCTGGTAGGTGTGAATACTCTGTGGAGTGAGTGGTAAATGCTGGTGAGTGTGGTGGAGTCCTCCCAGGTCCTTCCTCCTCTAAGAGTCTGTACTTGCCCAGGAGTGCTGAGGCTGTCAATCCAAATGCTGGGCCTGGCCCAGACCCCCTGAGAGTCTCTAGGAGCCACAGAGACTCCCCATCCCAAGAACCTACTGTGGCCAGACCGCAGCAGTGCTCCTGGCCCCAATTTCGAAGCTGCCAGGTCTCCACCCCCTCAAAAGGAACAAACCCAGGAACCCCCAAGACATGAGCTCACCTGCAGAGGAGCCAGGCAAAGGCCGCCTTCCCAGCTCCAGTTTCTTTTTCGAGGAGTTGGAAAGGTGCTGACAGGGGCAGGGGGCTTGGCCACGGGCCCAGCTCTTTCACTTCAGCTGCAGGAGGCCTCATCTGTAAAACAGACCCATTCACTTGCAGGATTGTAAATAGAGACATGTAGTGGGAGGGTGCTGGCATACAGCTAGTGCTTAATAAATATTACACATAAAATGTCAATGTGTGGAGGGTTCCTTTTCTGATGCTATAAGTGAGTGATCTGGGGTTTGCACAGGATCGTTCCTACAATGACAGACCTGAACAGAACCATTTTGTCCATGGGCTCCGGCTTGTACCCAAAGGGAAAGGGCAACACCTTGTAAATCAAAATGCCTTTGACCTGCCTGAGAGATGTACTCCCCGTACACTTACCTGAGTCTTGAAGAATTTTCACAGCACATGTCAATGTGTCAGATGGCTAGGAGGTCTGAGGCCTCCAGAGTACCACCTTTTACAAGTGTGTGGTCAACCATAGAGCATCCATTCAAGGCATGGGGCAGGCAGGGCTCTTGCGCACCTGAGAGTAAGCTGGTTGGCTGCAGTTCCCTGCTCGTTATTAAAAGGTTTAAGATCGAATCAATTTGTTGTAAATGCAGCATGTGAGCTGAGCAGACCATGGGGTTTGCAAAAGCATTTCTCCCCCCCAAAAAAAAAAAATGCATCCCACAGGCAGCATTTGCTCAAGTGTTCAGGCCAGATGGGTCAATAAAGACTTTTTGGAGTACCAGGTGTATTGAGTTACATTTGAGGATGGACCTGGTATCGAAGTTGGAAACAGACAAATAAAATAATTACAAATCAAGTAAGCATTCAAATGTTATGAAGAAAATAAAGAACTGAGAGGCTAATAACAGTGGGTAATCAGAGGCCTCTTTGATACTATGACATTTAAATTGGGACTGGGAGAATGGAGAATGAGCCAGTCAGAAGAAGAGAGCAAGAAAAAAAACATTACACTCAGGGAAGTAGTATGTGCAAATGGCCAGAGGCAGGAGAAAAGTTGCTGTGTTCAGCCTTCTGAAAGATTAAGCCAGTTGGAGCATAGTGAGAGAGCAGGGAGAGATGGTATAGGTCATGCTAGCCACAGTAGAGAGTGTGGATTTATTCTTAGTTAATCCAAAGGCCCTTGGAAGAGCTGAAGCAGAGGAGCCATGTGTTCAAAGTTGTATTTAAGGAATAACTCTCTTTTGTGACTCTTAGGAGAATGATTATAAGGAACAAAAGTGGAAGCAGGGAGACCTGGTAGAAGGCTTTGGGAATATCCAGGTGAAAGCTGACAGTTACTAGGAGAGAGTGGTAATAGTAGAAATAGGGAAAAGTGGGGAGAATCGAGATATAATAGCCCACCCTTATCTGTGGGATAAGGGTGTGTGAGTATATTCCAAGACCCCCAGTGGATAGCTGGAGCCACAGATAGTATAGAACTCTCTATATACTGATATTTCCCATATTTACATAACTATGATAACTATTTACCTTTTGCCTTAAAGATAACAAATATTTTATGTTTTTTCTTTGACATATCCAAATTGCCCGGGGCTGAGGATGTAGCTCAGATGGTAGAGTGCTTGCCTAGCATGTACAAGGCCCTGGGTTCAATCCCTAGTACCACCATCAAAAAAAAAAAAAAAAAAAAAACCCTTTGGTACGGTTACTACTCTTTCACTTTGGGGCCATTGTTAAGTTAAATAAGGGTTACTTGAACACAAGCACTGTGATGTGGCAGTAGTTGATATGATAACTCAGTGACTAATGAGTGGGTAGCATATACAGTGTGGATACACTGGACAAATAGATGATTCACGTTTACAGCAGAAAAGAAATGAGATAGTGTAAGATTTCATTCCACTACTCAAAATGGTACACAACTTAAAAGTTATGAATTGTTTATTCTTAAAATTTAATACTTTCAGACCACTATTGGTATCAGTTGCTTGAAACAACAAACGAACAAAAACTGTGAATAGGGGGACTACTGTATATTTAGAAGATAGGACCCAATGTTACTTGCTGCCAGCCTAGATATGAGATGAGAAAGAAGAAAGACAAATTAAAAATAACTCTTAAATCGCTGGGTTGAAAATGGTGGTACCAGTTGCGAAAAAAATGGGGTTATACTGACCAAGGGCAGACAGATTGAAAAGGGAAACAGGGACCCCTGCATTGGACACATGAAGTTTGAGAGACGGGTAGAACAACCAAAGGCGAATGTCAAGTGATCTGTGAGTGTTAGGAACCCAGAGGAGAGATCTGAACAGAAACTAGAAAGAAGACCCTCGATTGAGATTTAGAAAGAGGTGGAAGAGCCAGCTACAAAGACAGAGGAGTGGCCAAGGAGCAGGAAGAAGGCGGAGGGGCAGAGAAAGAGAAGCAGGAGGTGGACAGGGATGTTCTGCTGAGAGGTTCCAGGGTACAGGGACCTGCGGGGCATTTGGCCATGTGAAGGTCACTGGTGACTGACAAGAGCGATTCCAGTGTGGCGTGGAATAGAAGGCGAGAGGGAATGGAGTGCAGAGTGAAGAGGTGGAAACAGCAAGAGAGGCGCTCTGCCGTGTTGTCCTCTTGCTTCACATTTGACTTGGTTTGGGGGCATTTCTCAGTTTAAGAGTCCTGGGTCTCTGAGGCAGAATTGAGAAAACTCCCTTCACCGCCTCCTCTGCAGCTGGGCACAGGCACATGACCTGACTCCACCAATCAGATCAACCTCAGGGGACACCGGCAGCAATGGTCACAAGTCATTTTGGACACTTGCTGGCAGCAGTGTCAGTTGCAGCCGAGCTCCAGGCAGCAGACATACTGTGGTATCTGATGCTCTCTCTGTAAGGTGACAGTGGTTTCCTCTCTCTGTGGTTCTGTGGGGCTATAATTTGGGGTGTTAGTCCTTGGGGCTTATTTTTGATTCTACTGTAGGCTTCTTCAAAATTCCTTTCAATAAGCTCCTGTTTTGTTTTAATCTTCTTGACTCAACATAAATGTTCCAGTTAAGAATTCTGCCTGATTTGGAAGAATTGCAGAGCAGAAAGAAAGGAAGAATCTGAATCTCCTAGCACTCAGGACACTGCCCAATCTCCAGATTTCTGTTTGGGTTAGATTAGTAAATGCCTCCCCATTACTCAGGTGTTCTGCTGCTAGCAGCCAAATGCAGCTAAAATTCCTGAGCCCGAATCTGGCAGAAGACAGTGGAGAGTGGAGAAGGTTAGGGGTAGATACTCAGGACCCCATCACTGTAGGACAACATATTGGTCTCCACTGATATATGGTGGCAAAACATTTGGCCAGACTGTCACCTGCTGCATGGTGAGACACAGACCACATGCCTAACAAGTCTGTAGAGTTGGGGAAACATCAGGAAAAATCTGGAATGGAGCTCCCACTGGGAAAGAATTGAGTCCAGACACAGGAGGCCATCAAGCAATGACAGAAGAAAATGTGACAGTGCTTAGAGAAGTATCCTTTGCTGGTGGCTGCAAGCTGAATGGAGTGAGTCTCATTATGAGATCCTTGCAAGATTAATCACACACACATACACATGCACACATACATGTGCATGCACGCTTACACACACACACACACACACACACACACACACACACACACTCACAGAGTTTATTCTAGGCTGATGCAAATTTTTGCCCACAAATCAGAGCCATAACAGGAGATAAAACCAGAGCCAGAGCCTAGGCATTCCTCTAGACGTTTCTCATAGAATTGCATCTAACAGAGGGGCCCCCAGAAAAGAGCAGATGAAAGGTGTTGTCTCCCACCAGTGCTATTATTTTGAATTGCTCCAAAGTACTAATCATTAAACTCAAAACTAGGCTGAAGGCAAACCACCCAAGTCCAGTAGATTTTAAAAATTTAGAATTGTTATGAGTAAGGCTTACTTAGAAGGTGCTGTTAGCTGTGGTTACTTGCAAAAAAAACATAAAACGACTGGAAGTGAAACCGAGCATCAGGGATGCCCCATCAGCCGCCTATACAGATGCCACCTTTAGTCAGCTTCCCAGCAAGAAGGGCTTTGTGACAACAGTCCAGTAGTCCCCTCTTTTCATGTTGAGTTAGCTTTTCTTTTTTTTCTTTCTTTTCCAATTAAAAAAAAAAAAAAGTCTTTAGGATTGATTGATTGATTTGGGGGAACTGAACTCAGCGGTGCTTCACCAATGAACTACATCCCAGTCCCCCTATTAAATTATTTCTCTGAGACAGGGTCTCAATAAGCTGCCAAGCCTCACTTGAACCTTTAATCCTCCTGCCTCAGCCTCCTCACCCCCGAGATTACAGGCCTGCGCCATTGTGCCTGGCTCAGATAAGAGTTTGGTTTAAATTCTTGGAAGAAGAAAGAGAGACTATGGGGACATCATGTCCTATGTGGGTTTAAGGACTCTTCTGGGCAAACTTTATCACTAGTGCTGAGATAAGAAGAATTCAGGCTTCAGTACCTGAAGAGTAAGTGACAAAAGAACTCAAACTAGGACTCGTTTCCAACAAATATATACGGAGGACTTTCCTTAATATTATGAAGACTATATTTTTTTGGAGAAAGAAAGCTGGGCACCATGGCACCTGTCTGTAGTCCCAACCACTCATGAGGTTGAAGCAGGAGGATCTCAAGTTCACCTGGACAATTTAGCAGGATCCTGTCTCACAACCAAATAAAATGAAAAGGGCTGAGGACGTAGCTCAGTGGTACAGCACTTGCCTAGCGTATGTGAAGCCCTGGGTTCAATCCCTAGGGCCAAAGAAAGAAAGAAAGAAAGAACCCTCCCTAAAATAAAAAAAAAAAAAAAAGAATATACTGGGAGAATAATAAGCAGAGGATTTTAATACCCATCACAGGAGAGTTATAAAAGGCCAAAGAATCTTACAAAAAGTATCAGCCTGTTGGGCATGGTGGCACACGCCTGTAATCTCAGCAGCTCGGGAGGTTGAAGCAGGAGGATCGTGAGTTCAAAGCCAGCCTCAGCAAAAGCAAGGTGCTAAGCAACTCAGTGAGACCCTGTCTCTACTCAAAATACAAAATAGGGCTGGGATATGGCTCGGTCGAGTTCAAGTGTCCCTGAGTTCAATCCCTGGTA